CCTCAGAGTGCTGGTTTTACATATGTCTACACTACAGATGATAAGGGATATGGTATTGTAATACACCAGAGTGCTTGTTTTACATAGGTCTACACTACAGCTGTTAAGGGGCATTGTATTGCAATACCCTCAGAGTGCTGGTTTTACATAGGTCTACAATACAGCAGGTAGGGGACTATCTATTGTAATACCCTCAGAGTGTTTGTTTAACATAGGTCTACTGGTAGTGAACATTGTATTGTAATTCCATCAGAAAGCTGGTTTTTCATAGTACTACACTACAGCTGTTGAGGAATATTGTATTAAAATACCCTCAGAGTGCTGGTTTTTCATAGGTCTACACTACAGCTGGTAAGGGACATTGCATTGTAATACCCTCAGAGTGCTAGTTTTACATATGTCTACACTACAGATGATAAGGGATATGGTATTGTAATACACCAGAGTGCTTGTTTTACATAGGTCTACACTACAGCTGTTAAGGGGCATTGAATTGTAATACCCTGAGGGTGTCGGTTTTACATAGGTCTACACTACAGCTGGTATGGATATTGTATTGTTATACCCTCAGAGTGCTGGTTTTACATAGGTCTACACTACAGCTGGTAGGGGACATTGCATTGTAATACCCTCAGAGTGCTGGTTTTACATAGGTCTACACTACAGCTGTAAAGGAACATTGTATTGTAATACCCTGAGGGTGCCGGTTTTACATTGGTCTACACTACAGCTGTAAAGGGACATTGTATTGTAATGCCCTCAGAGTGCTAGTTTTACATAGGTCTACACTACAGCTGTTTAGGGACATAGTATTGTAATACCCTCAGAGTACTGGTCTTACATAGGTCTACACTACAGCTGTAAAGGGACATTGTATTGTAATACCCACAGAATGCTAGTTTTACATAGGTCTACACTACAGCTTTAAAGGGACATTGCATTGTAATACCCTCAGAGTGCTGGTTTTACATAGGTCTACACTTCAGCTGGTAGGGGACATTGCATTGTAATACCCTCAGAGTGCTGGTTTTACATAGGTCTACACTTCAGCTGGTAGGGGACATTGCATTGTAATACCCTCAGAGTGCTGGTTTTACATAGGTCTACACTACAGCTGTTAAGGGACATTGTATTGTAATACCCTCAGAGTGCCAGTTTTACATAGGTTTCATATTTATTTATTGTTCCTTTTTTATTTAATTGCTTTAGTTTTTTAAAACACGCCATATGACAAGTTAACATTATGCAACTGTGATATTTACACAAAGTAGAGTGAAGATTTGACCCATTTTTAACATAAACCATCAGTTATTATAAGATATTAAGGAAAAACATGTAAGTTATTCTAGTACAATAGATATATCATGGAGTAGAGTTACCACAAGGCATTTTATTTATTGTATTTGTAATATAAGCACTTGTACCATCTCAATTTTAACTTAAAATTTAGTTTTTTTTCAAGTATTATAAACCAAAATAGACCTCTTAAAATTATTTCTTTCTTCAACAATTTTCTAAATCTGAAGACTAGTGTTCAGTTATTGTTGTGCTGAAATTTACTATAGTATGAAACAATATCTATATATAATACCAGCCTTGAAAATAATGATGACCATTGCTGGTATATGGTAAAATTTGTTTCACTTAGCTAAATTTTCTGTTTCTTATGGCTGTCATTTTCCCAGTGTATCCCTCTGATATGTTTTATTATATATAAGAATAAGGAGATGTGGTTTGATTGTTTATGAGTTTGAGATAACCAAGCAAATAACATATAAATTACCTGCATTTATAGTATCCCCTCCCTAAGAAAATGTTTTATACAGGGTACTAGAGCACATTTTTTTAGCAATTGTCATCATTTGGTGTCTCTTTACATTGTCATCTTCATCAGTCTTTAAATTTTTTTTTCAAATCTTAACCATCTTAAACCACATGGCCAATTGAAATCAAACTTGTTATAAATCATCCTTTAGGAATTCAACTTCAAACATTTTCTGACCAACCAATATGGCCACCACTTCTAAAAATAGAATATAGGGGTAAAAGAAAAAAAAAGTGATATTGAACTACCAGATACCATTCAGGAAAGATGGAGGACTTAATAGAAATTGGGATGGGTGATTGTATATGTGAAAGAAAATGGGGAGAGACAATTCTGAAGTGCCTGGTGTAGAAATGATATATGTATTCAGGGAAATAAATAACAAAAAGGTATTGTATGAACTTTCTATGGGCATTAGAACATTGTTCCCTGGATAGTTTGGTCTGTTTTGTTTAGGCACTTTTTGACTAAACACCACCTTCAGGAAGTTCCAATGACAATTTGAATACATTTTCTTGAAAAATATAAAAAAAAAGTCAAAGCAAAAAATGTCACGTATTTATTTTTCTTATCAGAATTAATGCCAGAGAGACAAATTAATTTTGCTTAGGCCAAATAGTTTTGTTATAAGTCTCCTACCGGCAAAGGGGACTATAAGTTTGCAATATATTCCATCACACATGTTTTATGCACTTTTTTCTGTTATGCTTCCAATTATGGATTAGATGTTATGTTCATAGTCATATCTAAAGAAGTTTTATATTAAATTAAAGTTTCATAGGGTTGAGTAAATTTAGTTGAAGTTATTTGCCCTTGGAAATTATCTGTTTTCTTCATTTTTATCTTGCATCGACAAAGTAGAAAAAATGAGACCTAGTCTTACAGTTTCTCAATGATGGCATTAGCATTAAAATTACATACAGGCATGTCAATAGTGTATTTTTGTAAAGCCTGCAGCAATTGATTAGATATTTTCATATATAACTATATCATCAACATTTACAGAATGAGGTTAAGTTTTGTTCTGGTTGAGCTATTTTTGTTGAAGATGTTCCCTTGAAAATATGAAATTATTTTAAGTTATGTGTTTTTCCATACTTTTTCTGTAATGCCTGAATCAATAATTGATAAGTTATTTGGTATATATAGAGACAATAATAGTGTATTGACTTGACATTTTAACAATATAAGGATGAGGCTTAGAAATGAGAAAATGTGATGCTCTGTAGAGCATTATCCCTATTTTGTGCAGAATCTTTTTAATGTTATATAATATTTTTATCCCCCCATTTATTGCTATCACCATATTCCACTATCCGTCTGTCTGTCTGTCCATTTGTCAAACAATATTTTTGTCACATTTTTTTCTGGTACCACTGAACAGATTGTCTTCATGTTGGTCATCAGCTTGACAGTGATGAGTTGTAACGTGTGAGTGCTTTTAGGATCTGTTGGCCACCTAGTTCCTTTAACTGAATATTTTGATATATTAGATGAGGCATGGCAACATATGCATTCTTGTTGTCAAGGGAGTACACTTTTTTTGTCTTTAAACTACAATCATAAACAATTTTATATACGTTCGAGTCACTACAGAATACAATAAACAATAGAGCAATTGCTGTATAAAGTCACATCATATGCAGTTACAGATTAAGTTTGAGAAATTGTTGCTGAAGTTTTTGCCTTAGGACATTCTATATACAGTTATAAAATTCCTTAGTATGTAGGTATTCAAGCTTATAATCTAGCATATTATAAAATGATAAAATTTAAAGTATTTCAAATTATGCAATTATTTATTTGTTGAAGGATTTTAACGAGTTACTTTATACAAAATAAAAACTACACATAGAATATTTATTAAGTTCGTTGCATATTCAACCTGCAAAGAAAAGAAGTGTCAATGTGCTAGTTTTTGAAATAAATACAACCTCATTTTCTAGATTTAACTGATTATTTTCTGTCAGCCTTATGACAATGTTATAAAACATATCCTTACCTCCACCTACTACTGTATCTTATGTGCTTAAACACACACATATTTATATCAGAATCATGTGTTTATCATTTTTGAACCTTTTTACAAGTTATTTAGTCTTTAAAGTAATTTAAAATTGCAAAACTGTTCAAAATCTTGACTGTTTGACTCACACCAGCTAAGAAATGATATAGTGGAAGGACAACCCTTTCCCAGAAAAATATTTACACTAAAAGTGTATTTGTGACAATCTACTTGTTGACAAAAAACTAATGTTGGAGATGCTTGTGCTCTATATGTTATTTGACCCAAAATATTAATATTGAAATGTTACTGTTTTTAGCTTAAAGTTCATTATGTCTCTTTAAGGTAAAGAATATCTATTAAGGCAGTTTTTGTCTCTCCTCAATGAAGATATAAAAATTTGAGATTTAGGCCTGCTGTTTTCAGTAGCATCACCAATGTTTTAGTTTCTTAAAAGTCAGTTTATGGAGAACCTCTAGATGGTTATGAGTTTCTTATGTCATAGTGTTGCTGTATAAGTTTATGTAAACCCAAAAGTTTTTTCAAATTTTTTGTTGTTGTCTTGCTTTTAGTTAGTTTTTGTCTCGCCTTGAAGGAGTCAAAAAGCGAGACATATGTATGCTGTTTCTGGCAGCAGCGGCGTCAACAATGTATTAGTTTGTTATTAGGTCAAGTTTATGGTGGACCACAAGTGGTAGGTCAATGATATTTTGTATGCAGTTGTATAAGCATTGGCACATCTTATTTCCATGGAGATTATTTGGCCCTGCCCCCTCAGTCATGGTCTATTGACTTTGAAACTTTTACTTAGTTTACATGTATTAGTTTGTGATTAGGTCAGTTTATGGGGAACCACTAGTGGTAGGTCATTGATATTTGGTATGCAGTTGTATAAGCATTGGCATATCTCATTTCCATGGGGATTATTTGGCTCCGCTCCCTTAGTCATGGTCTATTGATATTGAAAATTTTGCTTAGTTTACATGTATTAGTTTGTGATTAGGTCAGTTCAAGGGGAACCATTAGTGGTAGGCCAATGTTAATTGGTATTCAGTTGTATAAGCATTAACACATCTCATTTCCATGGAGAATATTTGGCCCCGCCCCCTCAGTCATGGTCTATTGACTTTGAAACATTTGCTTAGTTTATATGTATTATTTTGTGATTAGATCAGTTTAAGATGAACTGCTAATGTTAAGTCAATGATATTTGGTATGCAAATTTATTGGCATTTGCAAGTCTTATTTCCATGGAGATTATAAAGCCCCACCCCCTCATCATAGTTCATTGACTTTGAAACTTTTACATAGTTTACAAGTTAATGTTTGTGTTTAGGTTTGTTTAAAGGGAACGACTTATGATAAGTCAATGGTATTTGGTATGCAGTCGTATTAACATTGACACATCTCATTTCCATGGAGATAGTTCAGCCATGTATCTTCAGTCATGGTTCATCGACTTTGAATATTTGCATAACTTACATGTTAAAGTATTGCTATTTTAATTTCAACATTTGCATTATCAAAATTACAAAAAGGCGAGACATATCTCCGTGATAACAGTTTATATAATTTAAGTTATGCTTTTCTTATGTTCAGAAGATTTTATATAAAAGCTAAAAGGAAATGCTGGGTAAACATGAATCAAACAGCAAGCCAGCAACAAAATTCACCAAAAGTTGTCATTTGGTCTTAGACTTGTACATTTACACCTTGATATATAGTGTAGACACTTGCTGACCTATAGATGACTTTTCTAAATTTAAGTATGTTATTTGGTTGTTTTTTCATTATTGTCTACCACACATTTTATTTTATTTGTATTTATGTAGTCTTCAATAAAGAAGAGTTAAACAAATAAAGCAGCTTACATGGTACGTAGAACCTTAACAAAAAATTGATATTAGCGTCTGATGAATTGGAGCTTCTTGGTTGACCCAAATAATGAAAAATTACTTTCTTGTACTGATTATGGAATGCATTTGGAGTTTAGTATGGCGTTCATTATCACTGAACTAGTATATATATTTGATTAGGGGCAGCTGAAGGACGCCTCCGGGTGCGGGAATTTCTCGCTGCATTGAAGACCTGTTGGTGACCTTCTGCTGTTGTCTGTTCTATGGTCGGGTTGTTGTCTCTTTGACACATTCCCCATTTCCATTCTCAATTTTATTATTTTGACTAGTTATCATTTATTTCTGTCTGATGCCACGCTCTCTGCATGTTAAGAACCCTTGCAACAACTCTTTGAGGGGTTGTAGGTGGCCTGTTGCAAGGCAAAATTTCTGTCCCTATCCCAATTTACCCTCATTCTCCAGTGGTAGTCAAAATTTCGCCGACCTTCATTCCTGACTTCCTTAATTGCAGGACCTACCTTTTTTTTTGTCTCACCTGCAACGACAGAAGCAAATCATTGTATAAAGTTGCATTACTATCAGTACATCTCAGTTTGTCAACCATTTCAAGGCCTTGCCAACTAGATCATGGTCCAGCGACTTTGAATTTATAAGCAATGTTGCAGTCCATCAGATTGTCTTTTTCTGAACTTTATGCCGACAGGTGAGACATATCTCTGTGTCAACGGTTTATATTTATTGTTAATTTGTTCTCATTCTGAACATGCATGAAATATTTGGCACTGGATGTAAAGCAACCAACAATCAATCAATCTATCATTTATTTCTGATAGGTCAATTGTCAAATATCTTTTTGCTTATATTGTAAGGCATCAAATTTGATGAAACATGATGAAATTTTGACTGGTAAACCTTTTAAAATAGCAACTCATTTATTTCTAGAAATATATGGCAACAAATAGATTTTATCATCTCATAATTACATTATCAATACAAACTCTCATAAATTGCCTTCTTACCAAACATTTTAATTAAGTATTCACAATGAAAGTTTTAGAGAAATGTCAGTAGGTACAACATGTGTGCTGTACAATGATTTAGAATTAATAACATAAATCATTGTCATATCCTTAACCCTTAATGTCAAGGTTTGCTCAAAACTTTTTGACATAGTGTTCCTCGATTTGGCAACAATCAACTTTTTTACCTTTGATTAGGCATAATTTTTCTTTTGAAGTTGTTGGTAGTTAGAGGTTATTTTTGTATCTTAAGAATCCATTTTTTTATTAATTTATGTTCATATATATAAATTTTGATAGAGCATTTATTGCTAGGTGTGCATTAATTTCAACTTCCTTATACGATGATTATGATTTGATTTATATTTGTTTTATATACAAATAAAGTCACAGACATTTGTTTCAATTTGTAATTTAATCAAGGAAAATGTCTTTACTTCCCTTTGTTACTTGTTTTGCTGAAATATATCCAACCATGGTACTCTGTATTTTTATATATTTTAAAAATTGTGATGTGCAGTTATAGCCTTACTATATAAAAATAAGTAGATGTGGTTTGATTGACAACTATCAACCAGAGTTCAAATGAAGTGGATGTAAGCAATTATAGGCCACAGGACTTCCTTCAGCAATGAGAAAAACCATACTGTATGGTCGGCTATAAAAGGTCTAAACATGAAAATGTGAAACAATAGTTTTAATTTGGATAAAAAACAGTTTGCTTAATAATATTTCATATTTGCACTTAAATAGAAGGTACAATTTGATGAAAAATGTGATATCTATAATATTTATCACACAAAAATATTCACAGAGGAGATACATTGTACTGTTCTGTATTTTAGGGGATTCCACAGAGGAGATACATTGTACTGTTCTGTATTTTAGGGGATTCCACAGAGGAGATACATTGTACTGTCCTGTATTTTAGGGGATTCCACAGAGGAGATACTTTGTACTGTTCTGTATTTTAGGGGAGAGATACATTGTACTGTCCTGTATTTTAGGGGATTCCACAGAGGAGATACATTGTACTGTCCTGTATTTTAGGGGATTCCACAGAGGAGATACTTTGTACTGTTCTGTATTTTAGGGGAGAGATACATTGTACTGTCCTGTATTTTAGGGGATTCCACAGAGGAGATACATTGTACTGTCCTGTATTTTAGGGGATTCCACAGAGGAGATACATTGTACTGTCCTGTATTTTAGGGGATTCCACAGAGGAGATACATTGTACTGTCCTGTATTTTAGGGGATTCCACAGAGGAGATACATTGTACTGTCCTGTATTTTAGGGGATTCCACAGAGGAGATACATTGTACTGTTCTGTATTTTAGGGGATTCCACAGAGGAGATACATTGTACTGTTCTGTATTTTAGGGGATTCCTGTTGTCCTTTTTATGTATTAAAAGGGAAAGGGTTCAGATCTTTAAAACTAGGTGTTCATGTGCCTGTCCCAAATCTTGAACCTAAAAAGTTGTTGTCTTTGGTCAAATCTTAATGTTATTGGTATTGTTAGAAGAAGGTGGTGATAGCAGATATCTGTGTTGCCTCTGTTTAGTTTTTCTCCTACTTTTTAAACTTGGTGGTGTGGGGACCATTATTATTACATTCAACTTGCCTGTCTTTCCATCCAGTTGTCTACATACTTTTCCATTGGGTCCAACAAATATTTCTGTCACACTTTTCTCATGTATTACTGAAAGATTGACCTTGTATTTGATCGGAAGAATGGCAATAATGAGTTGTAGAAGTGTGAGCACTTTTGGATCTGTCAAAAACTGTGAGGTTTGAATTTTTGAAAATGTTGAATAAGCTTTAAAATATTTGTCACATATTTTTCCAATGCCAATGAACAGAATGACTTCATATTTGATCAGCAGCTTAACAGTGATGACTTGTAACATGAGAGCACTTTTCTCATCTGTCAAAGACAAATACTCCCTGTTTTCCTATACTTTGAATTAAGAGTGGGGGTATGCTTATCGTGACCTGTGATTGTAAAATACTATCAGCTTTCCTCAATATGAAGCTTTTGAGTTTGTTAGCTGTTATTGCTTACAAAGAAAGCTTCAAACTGTGTCTCATAGCTGATATTTTACAATAAACTGATAACCTGTATGATTTCTCTTTATGACCCAATACTAATTATTATGTCCAGTGTGACCATGACCAAGAAATATATGTTTGATAAGTATCAGCTTGTCACATTCCTAATTCTTCAGATGATTTATAAAGCCTTTTGTATATTTTTGACTGTTGTTTAAAATGACACCTTCAGTTGTCCTTTGTAATAACCTCTATAGTCAAGACAACTGCAAAAATAGAAAAGATGACAAAAACAAAAACATATTTTTCCAATATAGGGCTCATAATTCATGAGTGTATAGTATTAAACTAGTTACTTTTTCCACTTGGACCTACTGATGTAAATCAGTCATTAGTATGAAGGCAATAGTCTTATTGTGACTAAAGTTTTCTTGATTTATTGTTCATGAAGTATCTTCTAATTATATTACATCTGACAACCAACCTAATACGATGGCTCTCACTAGTACTACACAAAAGATTGGATTTTTTTTTTTTTTTTTCATTTGAATGTTCTTTTCCTTATTTTACTTTATTTGGATAAAAAGAACTTTTTAAAAATATTTTTTTGTGCTTAGCAACTGTTGTTTTGCATTATCAAATGCCATGACAATTACTTTCAAAGACGGGTATAATTATTTAAAAATGGGGCATAATTTGATGTCATAATATAATTATACAAAGACAACACATCAACTTTATTTTAAAAACATTTTATTTACCAGTCTTCAAATAATTTGTAGAAAGAACTTTATACTTCTTGTTTGTCAATATATCAAATGCAATATTTTCTATTTTCTATTACAGGGAACTTCTGAATATAAGCCATGAAAACCAACAGATGTCATTTAAATTAAATGGATATATCACTAATGCTAATTATTCAATGAAGAAATGCACATTTTTATTGTTCATTAATCGTAAGTACTTCTACACCTTTTTACAGGTGGTTGACAAATTATTATGAATGCCAGCACTTCTAAAATATTATGTATTGGTAGCAGTAGTCCTATATAGTTAGGGTTATTTAAGTGTGTTAGTAGGGTTAGTTATCAATATTACATTTAACAAACCATTATATTAGAATATGCAAATTATTAGCTAAGAGATACAAGTTAATAGCAAATGTTGTGAAAATGTTGGTGAGAGAATAAGTGGCAGAAGATCCCAAAAGGGCAATCATAAGTGGAATAAAAACAGACAGCACCATGACCTCAAAGAGAAAGGACAAAGAGAGAACTGTTCACAAAATATTACACAGAACACCAAAAAAAAAGGGGGGGGTGCTCTTGAATGGTAAGAAGTAACTGCTCCACAAGTCAGTGGAATCTGCCAATTAAGATTCAGATTAAGTTTAACAGCAAATGGTTTTAGCTCATCTAGCCCAGTGGGAACTATGGTCATAACTTGAGGTCTGTCATTGTTCATCTATACACTTTTGTCTTTTGTAAACTTTTTGGATAACAACATGATTCTCTGAAACTACCAATCTTTGGTTAAATGATACATTAAGGATCTTCTGGAAATTTTGTTCATGATTTTATTTTCCTTCAAACAGGGCATCCAATATTACTAAGGATAGAAAAATTGACGAAATTATTTGATTTAAAAATTCTGAAAAAATTATTTGGAGAGGAAATTGCTACCAAACAACGTTGTTTTTTTTTATTATTCTTTGCGAAAAATTATGGTTGATGACCACACTGTTTTTTTTCTAACATTTCAAACACCCTTACCACCATTAAAAAGTTTGACAAAAAATTTGAAAAATGAAATGCTTCTAAACTTTGTTTAATAACACATTTACATTTATATTCTTTAAGAGCTGTGTATAATGAAACCCCTCCAAATATTGCAGCAGCGCTTTCCATAATTAGATATTCATACAAAATATTCAAACCAATTTAAAATTAAAGTACTGAACATCAGATGGCTGCAAGTTCTGGTGGATGGTCATAAGCACTTGTCTGAGAAAAAAAAATCATATCTCTATATCTGAAAGTTGGGTTAAGGTACATAGATATATTTTTTTTTTCTCAGACAAGTTCTTGTGTGGATGATGAATAAATGACAGGGAATTCAACCTGACCGTAATAATTATTATTATATTGTAGTGATATAATCATTTGTTATCAGTTTACTCTGGTTTGTTGTTATATATTATATTAATATTTGCATATATATAACTATATATATAGCAGATCATCTTAATAACTCTACAGGCAAATTTTCATCCAATTATATATCATTCTATTCTACTATTCTAATGATAGTGCAGTGCAAGTGCATGGTGGACACTCTTCTGTAAATTAATAAATCGTTTTCTAATAGATTGGATTTGAGGAGGCATTCATATTTTCCCGCTTTTATTGCAAAATGTTCTCGAGATATTCTTCCACATGCGTTAACACAGATTTTTGGTATTCATGATTTGTTATTGATATATATATATATTTCTCACGACAAAACATTTTCATATCAGTTATCTATGTTCTTAAAAATTATTTTCATAAATATTTATTGATGAAATTAATATATAACAAGCGATAAGGAATGTTATTTTGCACTCGATAATATCCGTTTATTTATACGAAATACGTTCACGGTTATCAGTCAAACAGCAAGGAAATTTCTGCGGCAACATTACACCAGTATGACCTCTCAAGGTCACATCCGGCGTAAAAAAAGTCAGGGTAAAAGAGCCAACATTATCATAGATGGATATTTTTGAATCTCAAGAAGAGATTGTATATGAATTAATATAGTTCAATTGAACGCAAAAATTAAAACTGACAATTATACTGATACATGTATTTACACCAGTAAATTATGATGTTAGGTGATAACATCTCATGCATGTTTTTGATTTTAATTACCTTGATAATTACTATGAGAACATGTTATGAGGCAAAATTATTGCATAAATAATTAAGTTTTTTGGGTATTATTAATACTATCAAATTTTCATGCATAATTGCAATGTTTTTGTTAGAGTGTACATTTGAATGGAGAAATTCGTAGGATTTTTTATCTTACATTATTTATTTTTTTTAAAAATGCAATCAATATTTTATTGATTTAAAAAATGTAAAATGTTGCTTTATATCTCCATTTGATTGTTTTTATTTTTATTTGTGAAACTTGGTGTGATGTCAAATAAAAGTGAATGAGTCTGGTCTGGTCTGGTGATATTTGATTTAAGATCAAATTTAGGTAAATTCTGCATTTGAATGACCAAAACTTTTTCCTCAATTCTATCTTGATTCTGTGATTCAATTCAGTTGGGTTTATGATAAAATTTTAGGTTATTCACAATGCAATATATATATTCTGCACTGCACAGTTCAAAATAATAATAGAAAAACAAGGATTTATGATGAATTACTTGTATCTTCATAAAATTATAAAAATGTATTAAGTACAAAAGGCCATCATGAATGTTTTTCTTGTTTGACGTCATAATTGGTCTAATTATAGGTGTTGACTGATGTTTAATATTATTTCCACATCTCACACTGTCTTGTTGACATGAGAATGACAGCTTTATGTCTTTAACAATAAAGGTAATTTTTGTCCATTTGACATCACAGAGTTTATTTTGGTATACAAGTTATAAAATATAGGTGGGAGTCATTTTGTTTAATTTGAACTGGGAAAAAAATGGTGACTAATTTGTTTTCTAGTAATTTTTCATTTTCCTCAACAAAATTAAAGACATTAGTGTGTTTAATTGATATTTTGTACCAATAAACATTTTTGAGGTCACACTAATGACATATTTGTAATTCTTGACCCAACACTCCAGGATTTCTTTTGACATTTTATTGTAATAAGGAAGAAAAAGGATGCCAAAGCAATTATTTAACTTATATCTGTAAACACCTCAGGGAATCAGCATACAATAACTAATGCCTTCTTACCTAACAATTACAGAGATTATTTCACTTGATGAGCTTTGGTCTGGTTTTTTTTTCTTTTTACCTAACAATTTCAGAGATTATTTCCCTTGATGAGCTTTGGACTGGTTTTTTTTTCTTTTTACCTAACAATTTCAGAGATTATTTCCCTTGATGAGCTTTGGACTGTTTTTTTTTCTTTTTACCTAACAATTTCAGAGATTATTTCCCTTGATGAGCTCTGGTCTGTTTTTTTTTCTTTTTATTTGTTGATTCATTAATCTTTTTTCATCCTTCCATTAAAGTTGTTTAGGAAAAGGATGGAAATGGCAACTACAAATCACAGTCAAATAGTTATGGATATTAACAAAAGTCTAGGCAACAAAAAATCTTATGAGAAAAAATACTTGTAAGAACATTTCAGTATATCTTACAATCAATTTTAGTTGTAAGATTTTTTGTGAAAACAGCCCTAGAACTATGTTTTCAGGATGGATTCTGATTTTGAAATTTGTTTGGGATTGATGCCAAACCTAACAGATACGGTAACCAACTTATACATGGCAGTTCTATTTTTTTAGGGGTCAGCAACAATAATACTATTGATCTCGGTTCAATCTGTGAATAAATTTTCCTTTTTGACTGAAGTGATTAATATAACTAAAAGGAAATATTGATTAGAAATCAACAAGCCACTCAGACAGCAACCAAACAAAAACGTTAACCAAAATCAAGAGGTCCCAATATTGTATTTACAAATATTAAGTATACACGCTGAAGGCAGACAAGTTATGAATCAATTAAACAAGGATGACCAACTATCTGACACCAACATAGAATTCTCAAAAAACAAAATTTAATAAAAAAAAATAAAAATTAACCTTAATTTTAATGATGGTTTTTTTCAGATCGACTTGTTGATTCAGGATCACTGAAGAAAGCAATAGATAATGTGTACCAAGCCTATCTTCCCAAAAACATGCATCCATTTCTTTATCTCAGGTATTATAGCTCATTTTAATTATATGTGTAGATAAATAGAAGAACAAGCTGTATATTTCACCAATATCTTTTACTCATTTTAAATAGAAATTCTGTTTAAAAAAAATGTATGTGATTTACTACCTTTTGAGGAATAATTACTACAGAAAAATGCTTGTGCACTCTTATGTGTATGTTTGTTTGTTGCTGTCAAGGAATATGAAATGTATTGAACCAATATCTCTGCCAAGTTTGAAAATAAATATATGTTATTTATAGCCCATATGAGTGTATAACAAATGCAGGGGAATCTATTGTTTAAGAATTTTTTTCAGAGAAGACATTCTTCACCTTCCTTTTCCAAGGCATAGCAAGTTGAAAATTTTGTGAATGGGTTCCAAAAAATGTTTTACTGTATATGGACTACTGAATGGTTGAAAGAAATTAATAACTTGCTTTCAAGTATTTATAGTGTTATTTTGTGGTGAATGAATGTCCTTAGACCAGTAGGTTTAGATTTAGTATGAAAATTTCCTACCCACATTTTCAAGATAATGTTCCAAAATGAATTTTACTACCAGTTGCATATATGTTTTGATGCAGTATCTTTAGGTAAGGGGGGAGGGGGGGGAAGAAATTGCAGTATCAATGTATAATATGAAAATAAGGAGATGTGATTTAATTAAGTCTCCCCAACAAAGTCTGGAGACTTATTGGTTTTGCTCAGTTACTATATAAGTCTATGGGAAAATTGAAAAAAAACAATTTCAAATGGTCACAACTTGAAAACTAATGAAACTGATGATAAGGGGTCTTCAGTAACTATTGTAAGACTACAATGGGATGATTTGGGTTTTTTTTCCGTGAGGGGGTGCTCTTTTATTTTTTTTTGGGGGAGAGTAATTTCTGCTTGATATGTTCCATATTCAGTATATGTCAGCATACTTATATTTGGCTCATGCCCCCCCAGACCTGGCGGGTAAGCCAGGGTCTGGGGAACCCTTGCCCAAATTTTTATTTGAAGAGTGTTCCAAAAACACATTTAAAGGCATTTCCAGCATTATACAGGTCCTAGGTGTACAATTTTTAGGGGGAAGGGAATTCAATTGCTGTTCATTTAGGAGACTTTTGCAACAGCATCCTGTTACTATGTTATCTTGTTGTCAGACACCTATTCACCAGAGACCAAATTACATAGCTTTATGCAACTATAGTTCACTGTACGACCATAAGGATATTTGCCCTCTGCGTGACTACTTTAAACCAGTATTTAGATCAATTTTTCATCTAGTTTTGGCAGGTACAGTATTACAATCCTGTCTGTCATCCAATTTGATTTTGTGTTATGAAACATCTTTCTTATTGTCAGTTTGACATTGTCTGCATTTCAGTGGTTTTGAGTCTCAGGTGGTTGCAAATAACATATAAATTCAATGGAAAGTAAAGAGAAATAGGGTGTATGTACATGAGACACAAATATAAAGTCAAGTAAAGAGAAATAGGGTGTATGTACATGAGACACAAATATGTCAAATAAAGAGAAATAGGGTGGATGTACATGAGACACAAATATGTCAAGTAAAGAGAAATAGGGTGGATGTACATGAGACACAAATATCAAGTCAAGTAAAGAGAAATGGGTGGATGTACATGAGACACAAATATCATGTCAAGTAAAGAGAAATAGGGTGGATGTACATGAGACACAAATATGTCAAATAAAGAGAAATGGGTGGATGTACATGAGACACAAATATGTCAAGTAAAGAGAAATAGGGTGGATGTAAGTAAGACACAAATATCATGTCAAGTAAAGAGAAATGGAGTGGATGTACATGAGACACAAATAACAAATGGGTTGGATGTACATGAGACACAAATATCATGTCAACTTAAGAGAACTAAGATGGATACACATGAGACACAAATAACATGTCAAGTAAAGAGAAATGGGTGGATTTACATGAGACACAAATATTTCAAGTAAAGAGAATTTAGGGTGGATGTACATGAGACACAAATAACATGTCAAGTAAAGAGAAATGTGGTGGATGTACATGAGACACAAATATCATGTCAAATAGAGAGAAATGGGTGGATGTACTCAGGGACAAAACTTAAAGGGAGCCCAGTCGCCCATGGCTCCTAGATTTTGAGCTGGGCCCCTAAACTTTTAGGTAAATTTCAGTTGAACATATAGAAACTAATTATGAAATATCTGGTCTGGGCTCCCAGCTTGAAATTCCCAAGTTTAGTCCCTGTGTACTTGAGACACAAATATGTCAAGTAAAGAGAAATGGGGTGGATGTACATGAGACACAAATAACATGTCAAGTAAAGAGAAATAGGGTGGATGTACATGAGACAAATATCATGTCAAATAAAGAGAAATGGGTGGATGTACATGAGACACAAATATGTCAAGTAAAGAGAATTAGGGTGGATGTACATGAGACACAAATAACATGTTAAGTAAAGAGAAATAGAGTGGATGTACATGAGACACAAATATCATGTCAAATAGAGAGAAATGGGGTGGATATTCATGAGACACAAATATCATGTCAAGTAAAGAGAACTATGATGGATGTACATGAGACACAAATATCATGTCAAGTAAAGAGAAATGGGGTGGATGTACATGAGACACAAATAACATGTCAAGTAAAGATATATAGGGTGAATGTACACAAGACACAAATAAAGAGAAATAGGATGGATGTACATTAGACACAAATATCATGTCAAGTAAAGAGAAATGGGGTGGATGTACATGAGACACAAATAACATGTCAAGTAAAGAGAAATAGGGTGGATGTACATGAGACACAAATAACAAATGGGGTGGATGTACATGAGACACAAATAACAAATGGGGTGGATGTACATGAGACACAAATATCATGTCAAGTAAAGAGAAATAGGGTGGATGTACATTAGACACAAATAACATGTCAAGTAAAGAGAAATGGGTTTATGTACACGAGTCACAAATGACATGTCAAGTAAAGAGCATTAAGGTGGATGTACATGAGACACAAATATTGTGTCAAGTAAACAGAAATGGGGTGGATGTACATGAGACACAAATATGTCAACTTAAGAGAACTAAGATGGATGTATATAAGACACAAATATCATGTCAAATAAAGAGAAGAAAGGATGGCTGTACATGAGAAACAAATATTATGAATTACTGGGAAATACAATCTTTGTTGGTTCAGCAGTACTATATGATAAATGTCCACAGAGTTGTTCTTGCAGCAGTACTATATGATAAATGTCCACAGAGTTGTTCTTGCAGCAGTACTATATGATAAATGTCCACAGAATTGTTCTTGCAGCAGTACTATATGATAAATGTCCACAGAGTTGTTCTTGCAGCAGTACTATATTATGAATGTCCACAGAATTGTTCTTGCAGCAGTACTATATGATGAATGTCCACAGAATTGTTCTTGCAGCAGTACTATATGATGAATGTCCACAGAGTTGTTCTTGCAGCAGTACTATTTATGATAAATGTCCACAGAGTTGTTCTTGCAGCAGTACTATATGATGAATGTCCACAGAATTGTTCTTCCAGCAGTACTATATGATAAATGTCCACAGAATTGTTCTTGCAGCAGTACTATATGATAAATGTCCACAGAGTTGTTCTTGCAGCAGTACTATGTGATGAATGTCCACAGAATTTTTCTTGCAGCAGTACTATATGATGAATGTCCACAGAATTGTTCTTGCAGCAGTACTATATGATGAATGTCCACAGAGTTGTTCTTGCAGCAGTTCTATTTATGATAAATGTCCACAGAGTTGTTCTTGCAGCAGTACTATATGATGAATGTCCACAGAATTGTTCTTCCAGCAGTACTATATGATAAATGTCCACAGAATTGTTCTTGCAGCAGTACTATATGATAAATGTCCACAGAGTTGTTCTTGCAGCAGTACTATATGATGAATGTCCACAGAATTGTTCTTGCAGCAGTACTATATGATGAATGTCCACAGAGTTGTTCTTGCAGCAGTACTATTTATGATAAATGTCCACAGAGTTGTTCTTGCAGCAGTACTATATGATGAATGTCCACAGAATTGTTCTTGCAGCAGTACTATATGATAAATGTCCACAGAATTGTTCTTGCAGCAGTACTATATGATAAATGTCCACAGAGTTGTTCTTGCAGCAGTACTATATGATAAATGTCCACAGAATTGTTCTTGCAGCAGTACTATATGATGAATGTCCACAGAGTTGTTCTTGCAGCAGTACTATTTATGATAAATGTCCACAGAGTTGTACTATATGATGAATGTCCACAGAATTGTTCTTCCAGCAGTACTATATGATAAATGTCCACAGAATTGTTCTTGCAGCAGTACTATATGATGAATGTCCACAGAATTGTTCTTGCAGCAGTACTATATGATAAATGTCCACAGAATTGTTAATGCAGCAGTACTATATGATAAATGTCCACAGAATTGTTCTTGCAGCAGTACTATAGGATGAATGTCCACAGAATTGTTCTTCCAGCAGTACTATATGATAAATGTACACATGAAAGACAAGTTAGGCTCAGAAGGGGACCCTTATCCATACATTTTTCCTGATAATGTTTCACAAAATAGGTTTATTTAATTTTTCGACTCTAAGGGCTGCAATTAAGATCAATTTGTTCATACATTGATGTAGTCACAGGCTTTAGAATGTGCTGAATTTAAGATCACTGTAATATGTAGTCAATGATGACAGGTTAGTGGTACAGGTTCCTATTAACCTCTAGTTTTTAGTCTGGCCTATGAAGAAAGCTGTGTGTATGCTAGACTTAAACATGCTGTTTCTGGCTTCAGCAGCTGTTGTTATAGGTCTTGATAAGGTCAAATATGGTGACCCATGATATCTTTATGATAACAGCTAATTGATATTGAAATTGTCATTAAAACAACAGCTTAAACAAAAAATATTTCATGTAATATATTATTTTTGTTTCAGCCTAGAGATTGCACCACAGAATGTGGATGTAAATGTCCACCCAACTAAGCATGAGGTTCACTTCCTGCATGAAGATGCTATCATTGAAAATATACAAGAAGTTATAGAAACAAAATTATTGGGATCAAACCAGTCAAGGACATACTACACACAAGTAAATTATTAGGGCCCAGTCGTCCTATAGTGATCAGTCTGTCCGTCCGTCCGTCTGTCCGTCCGTCCTTAACAAATTGTGTCCGCTCAATATCTAGAGAACCGTTATGATTTCAAAGTTTATACTTGACATGTATATTAACCAACACCAGAGGGTGTGTCATAATGTATGTACAACTTCCTAGGTCAAAGGTCAAGGTCAAAAACTTTGGTTTTAGTTGACAACCCCATGTCCTATGGTAAAGATCGTGTCCGCTCTATATCTTGAGAACCGTTATGATTTCAAAGTTTATACTTGACATGTATATTAACCAACACCAGAGGGTGTGTCATTGTATGTACAACTTTCTAGGTCAAAGTCAAGGTCAAAAACTTTGGTTTTAGTTGACAACCCCATGTCCTATGGTAAAGATCATGTCCGCTCTATATCTTGAGAACCGTAATGATTTCAAAGTTTATACTTGACATGTATATAAACCAACACCATAGGGTGTGTCATAATTTATGTACAACTTCCTAGGTCAAAGGTCAAGGTCATAAACTTCTGTTTCAGTTTACAACCCCATGTCCAATGATAAAAGATTCAAATGTTTTACCACACATTATTCACAGCGGGGCCCACAGAGATGGCTTCCATCTCAATGATATCTAGTTACAATAACTCATTAAAAAATAGATAATAGGAAGTGCAACAGACAAGAAACAACAACAAACACATGGTCCAGATAGCCTGACTTGGTACAGGTACAAAATGTGCTAGCTTTAACTCTAAGGAACTTATCTGCATAAGATATATGAAACCATGCACAAACTTACTAAACATTTAAATTTGAGAGAGAGAAAAAAGACAATATTAGGTGATAACATTTTGCCATGCTATACACAGGTAAATAATAAAAGTCACACTGTCTTAATCTAAAGTACTGAAGAAGCAACAAAGTTGTTCAAATCTTGAAACTAGAATGTTTATTACTAACAGATAAGTGAAATGGGAATTATTTGATCAGGCCAGTTTACACATTTACATTGAAATGCAAAAAAAAAAAAAAAAAAAAACAGCAGAATGGTTTAAAGATAACAGTAATACCAAACTAATATAAATTATTTGTTTGGAATCAGCAATCCAGGCTGTTATATAACTTTATGGTATGAATAACTTCCATCGGCTACACTAAAAATTCGTAAGGGTTCCGCGGAACCCAGTGTCTCGCCTACTTTTGCTGTTAATCGCAGGCTCAACAAAAATGAGAAAAAAAAATAATAAAAATAATCCTCTCTATACTATCTTTTGATTGTAAGTAGCTTCTGTCTAAGTTTGGTAAAAATCCAGGATAGTTTATGAATCTAATAAATGTTTTAAAAACTTAAACTGCAGACTGTATGTAATGTTAACTGGAAGAAAAACTAAGTCCATTTATAAGTAAAATACGGAAAAAATGGAACAAAATTTTAACAAAATTTCCTTCTAGATACTAGCTTGTAACTTAATCAATCTTCTGTCCAAGTTTGGTACAAATCCAAGATAGTTTAAGAAAGTTGTTAAAATTTTAAAAACTTTAATCACAGAGTGAATGTAATGTTAACTGGCAGAAAAAATAAGTCCATTTATAAAAAAAATACGGAAAAAATGGATTTTTTTTTTACAAAATTTACTTCTGGATACTATCTTATGATCATAAACAAGCTTCTTTCCAAGTTTGGTAGAAATCAAGGATAGTTTAAGAAAGTTATTAAAATTTCAAAAACTTTAACCACAGAGTGAATGTAATGTTTCCTGGCAGAAAAACTAAGTCCATTTATAAGTAAAATACGGAAAAAATGGAATTTTTTTACAAAATTTACTTTTGAATATTATCTTATGATCATAAACAAGCTTCTGTCCAAGTTTGGTAGAAATCCAGGATAGTTTAAGAAAGTTATTAAAATTTCAAAAACTTTAACCACAGAGTGAATATTTGTGGACACTGCCGACGACGGAATGTAGGATCGCTATGTCTCGCTTTTTCCACAAAAGTCGAAGGCTCGACCAAAACCAAGCGATTGGGAAGCCTAAGATATAAAACGCTGTTGTTTAGTGGTTAACTTGTGCTCTAAAACTTGGAGTTTATATCCCTGTTCTGTTTCAGGTTCATTCAACTTGTTAACATTATATTACTCCCCTTTAACAAGAGAGCAGTAAATAATACAAGATAGAAAAGAGTATGATGTCATACTATGATAATAAGACTTGAATTTACAATGTAAAAGGCTGGTCCTGACAGTTACTGCAGAACTAGATATATTTATTTGTCCATTTTATCGTATGTAATTAAAATAAAAGATCTAGAGTGCTCATCAAGGTAAATGACATTTACTACCATGTTGAAACCATTAAAGTTATTTTTGTGTTACTATTTTCCTTATATAGTTACTTTTATGATGGATTAAGGTGATTGGATTCATAAATAACTGTTGTTTAATATACAACCACATTACTTGTGCTGCAGAAAAAAAATTGTTTTTGTTTTAGAGAAATTTCGTTCTTCCTTTAAAACAACTTAGACTAGTTTTATATCGTTTTATTACACTAGTAATTTTGCTGGTTCCTCATATGGTCTAAAAACCAATAACCATTTATTTGACACTCCCAACTTTGATATTTTGTCCCCATGCTCAATTCTTGTTGAGCTGTGACATTTATGTTGTGAAAGCGAGACATAGTGATCCTAGATTCCGTCGGCAGCGTCAACATTTAGGTTCAGTCTGTGGTTAAAGTTTTTTTTAGACATCAATAACTTTGTCAAACCTTCATGGAATTTTATGAAATTTGGACAGAAGCTTGTTAATGACAAAAAGACAGTATCCAGAGCAAAATTTTGAAAATATTTATTTTTCGTTCGTTTTTCCTTTTCCATATTTTACTGATAAATGGACTTAATTTTTTTTACAGTTAACAAGTAGATACAGTCTGGGGTTAAAGTTTGTAACGCATCAATTACTTAGAATTTTATGAAACTTTGGCAGAAGCTTTTTTTTATGATTAAGAGATAATGTCTTAAGTAAACTTTTGAAAATATATTTTATTTTCAGTATTTTTCTGATAGATGAACTTAGTTTTTTACAGTTTACATTTACAGACAGCCTGTGATTAAATTTTTTGACATGATAAATTTGTAAACCTTCATGGATTGTTATGAAACTTGGACAGAAGCTTATCTCCAAGACCAAGAAATAGCATCTAAAGAAAATGTTTTTAAATTTTTTTTTAATTTCTTTAATTTACTGATAAATGGATTCACTTTTTAAGTCAACATTACACTTTTTCACTGACAGCAGCAATCGTAGGCGAGACACAGGATTCAGAGGAACCCCTTAAGAATTTTTTAAATTTATTTTTTATTTTTTTGGAAAATGAAAATTTCTGCAAATATCATAGAAAGAAATATTTTGTAAGATTTGAACAGTCTCTTATACCTACCCATTCTTAATAAATAGAAATTTCAATTTGCTCTTACAAAGGGTTTTTTTTGTGATACCATATGAAAGCCATATTATTATATTTCATGCAGAGCATATGTAAAGGATGAAATGTGTTCCAATGTCTGTCCATCCATCCATCTATCATCACTTCCTTTATTTCCTTAGATCATCTGTTTATTTTCTTTTATTAAAATCACAGATGAGTTTCATGATCACCGAAATCAGAAAGGTGAACTTTTTTTCTTTGTTTTTTATGGGGACATTTACAAATAATCCTGTGAAAGTGTATGATTTTTGTCGAGCCTGCGACTTTTGTCACAGAAAGCTCGACATAGGGATAGTGATCCGGCGGCGGCGGCATTATCCAACTTCTTAAAAGCTTTGTATTTTAGAAGGTGGAAGATCTGGATGCTTCATACTTTGTATATTGATGCCTCATGTTACGAAGTTTCTGTCAGTCACATGTCCAATGTTCTTGACCTCATTTTCATGGTTCAGTGACTACTTGAAAAAAGAGTTAAGATTTTTTGTAATGTTAATTCTCTCTTATTATAAGTAATAGGATAACTATATTTGGTATGTGCGTACCTTGCAAGGTCCTCATGCCCGTCAGACAGTTTTTACTTGACCTCCACCTCATTTCATGGATCAGTGAACAAGGTTAAGTTTTGGTGGTCAAGTCCATATCTCAGATACTATAAGCAATAGGTCTAGTATATTAGGTGTATGGAAGGACTGTAAGGTGTACATGTCCAACTGGCAGGTGTCATCTGACCTTGACCTCATTTTCATGGTTCAGTGGTTATAGTTAAGTTTTTGTGTTTTGGTCTGTTTTTCTTATACTGTATGCATCAGGTCTACTATATTTGGTGTATGGAATGATTGTAAGGTGTACATGTCTAGCTGGCAGGTGTCATCTGACCTTGACCTCATTTTAATGGTTCAGTGGTCTAAGTTAAGTTTTTCAGTTCTGGTCTTTTACTAATACTATATGCAATAGTTCAACAATATTTGGTGTATGGAAATATTTTATGATCTATATGTCAGTCACGCAGGTTTTATTTGACCTTGATCTCATTTTCAAGGTTCATTGCTCAGTGTTAAGTTTTTGTGTTTTGGTCTGTTTTTCTTAAACTATAAGCAATAGGTCAACTATATTTGTTGTATGGAAGAATTGTTAGCTGTACATGCCTGCCTAGCACGGTTCATCTGACCTTGACCTCATTTTCATGGTTTATTGGTCAAGATTTAGTTTACTTGGTTAATGTTAAGTTTATGTGACAGTTGTAATAAAGCTTTATATTTAGGACTATCAACATAATATCAATGATTAGTAAAGAAGGCGAGACATTTCAGCGTGTGCACTCTTGTCAGAAATACAACAGGAACCATTTTTGTCTTTCCTGCAAAATATAGCAATCCTACTTTCAGTCTTTTGCATCCTCATTTTAGGTTCAGTCTGCAGTTTTTATTTAGAAATTACATTGAATTGATTGTTACTGTTTTTCTCCACCTATTGCAGTTCATTTAAAATTCTGTCCAAATTTGTTTCATCAAATTAAATTATTCAATTGGTTAAACATTTTACTAAGCTGCTGTAGAAGAACTGCAGTCTAGTCATGAATGTAAGTAGTGAAAAGTGAAAAACAAAAGCATAATTACAATCCTTTTAGATTTGAATACCACTTCTTCAGTATTGAAACTGTATAGGTGTATTTCTTTCTATGCATCCATTGTAAAGTCATACGAAAGGTAAGGTTGTCATTTTTGAATTGCTATATAATTGTCAAGTCTAAGATTTCCTACTCTTTGTTTTAAAATATCTTCTTTATTTTAATAAAAGAAACAGAAATCTATTTGAATTAAAATATTCAGTGAAATGAATGTATTTTCAAGTTATACCAAGTTATCAATTAGTTTTCATGGGAAATACTCTGATATCTTCTACCTCCCTTTTTATATGAAATCGACATTTTATTGTTTAATTCATGAAAAAATATTCTAGCTAAAAATATATTTTATTGAGTATAAGATAAAGACAAAAATAGGAAATGAATCCTGTTACCTCAATCAATTGCAAGCAGGTCCAGACATGGTATTGGTCTTGTTATTACAAATATTCAGAAAATTTTATTTGCTAATTTTCCGTCTTGGATGTCCTCAATTTAACTGCAGTGCTTATTGACAAGTTGAAATATTATGAATTATTGTATCATACAATTTTCAGTGAGAGGACTTGTATGTTTTCACTGATGTGAGAGTGTAGAATATATGACTTTGTTATTTTAAGCTACATTTATTTTGTAGGCACTACTTCCCGGAGCATCTGTAACTTTACCAGATGAAAAGGGAGATAATTCTTGCTTAGGTGGTAAAGGTAAGGTGATTTTAGTCATTATTTATAAGAATAAGAAATAGTGAAAATAAACATAAGATTTAATGAGTTGAAAATCTATGAATACTGAAATAATTCAACCATTATATAAATATAAATGGTTTATCTGCTATTATTATTTACATGATAAGCTGTTTAGGCTATTCCTTATTAAACTCGGCATAATTCAAGAAATCAAAGATCTGAAGTACTGAACATCAGATGACCTCAAGTTCTGGTGGATGGTCACAGGCACTTGTCTCAGAAAAAAAATCATATCTCTATACCTGAAAGTTAGGTTAAGGTACAAAGATATATTTTTTTTCTGAGACAAGTTCCTGTGTGGATAATGAATAAATGACAGGGAATTCAGCCTCACCGTAATAATTATTATATTGTAGTGATATAATCATTTGTTATCAGTATAATCTGGTTTGTAGTTATATATTATATTAATGTTTGTATAACAGTTATATATATATAGCAGATCATCTCTCAAGATATTCTTCCGCATGCGTTAACACAAATTTTGGTATTCATTATTTGTTACTGATATATATTTCTCATGACAAAACATTTTCATATCTTTATCTATGTTCTTAAAAAAATATTTTCATGAATATTTATTGATGAAATTAATATATAACAAGTGATAAGGAATGTTTTTTTCCACTCAATAATGTCCACGTATTTATACGATTTACACGAAGTGATGGGTGCTTAAAAACGCAAGGGCCGTGTGCAGAATTTCTGCGCCAGCATAACACCAGAATGACCTCTCAAGGTCATCCACTGTAATTAAAAGAAGTAGCACAAAGAGTGCTTGCCATAGTGAAATAGTTTGTCTTTTACAATCGAAACAAGATTTATCAGGGGTTTGATAGCACAAATTGATTTAAATCTAAGAGCTCTGGGAAGGGTTGTGTGTGATGGTGGATTCATTTGAAATTGAGGAACGTTTTACAGTTTTACTGAACATAGCTCGAGTTAAAGATTTTACTGATTGAAAATATGTTGTTCTAGAGTTGTTCCCTTTATAATGTAAAGAATACCTCTACCAGTGGTTTCTTTGTTACTAAGATGAAGTTATAACATATTCCATCGCAGTCTACAGAAGATGATTCCTAGATAATTTGTTTTTGCATTCTCTGCCCCCAAAACCAGTCTTAATTAACACCCAACCCTTTTTAATAGCAACTACTTAATGTTACTCCTATCTAGATTATATAAATGTTGACATATTATGCTTTTATTTTTAGAAAAATCATGCTCATCAAATAGGTGATTTTTTAGATGTGGACATCTGTGTCTCATGTTCACATTTTGTTTTTATTTTTTAGACAAACCATATGCTCATCAAATGGTTAGAACAGACAGTAGAGATCAAAAGTTGGATGCCTTTGTTAAACCTAAACAAGTAGAAAGTCTAACAAATTCTGACAGTGCTAGTATGGGTGTAAATGAAACAAGGTAAAATTTAAGAAAACCATTCAGACATCTATTTGGTTTATTTTCTGTTTCATATGGCAACTTGTTTGTTTTGTTTGTTATAAAACATATCACTAGATATAACTGTTGCCAGAATCTTCTTCATATGGTTTTGTGATCAGCATAAAATACTTTCAGAAGGTCTGTTTTATTCAACACATATATAAATGACAAACCTACAGTTTCCACTGGGAAGGGAAAGTTGGACTGTCCTAAATTTAAGATATGTCTACCTTGTTTTCAGTTTCTGTTCATATAACAAGTCTTCACCGGTCAGTGGCATGTCCCATGACTAAATTGACATTGTTTTGATAAATATGACAATTAAGAGATGTGTAATTGAAAATGTCCAGAGACCAGAGGACAAGGATATAAATAACTGTAGGTCCCTGTACAGCTGCTTCAACAATGAGCAAAACCCATACCATATAGTGAGAGCTATAAAAGGTATTACAAAATGTGGATCATTTCAAGAGAAAACCAATGGTCAGATTTACTGTGGATTCATTTATTTTCATGGGTACCAATTTTTGTGGATTGAGGAAAACTTTCATGTATGTGGATATTTGATTTCATGGTTTTGTCAAAGTCTGTATACAAGCCTATATAAAATTTGTTGAACATTTAAATTTGTTGTTTACCTGTATCCATGAAATCATGTAAAATTGGTATCTCACAAATAGCCTTAATATAGGAACCTGTAATTTAGTTGTTGTCATTGGTTGATGTCTGGCATATTTATTTTTTGTTTATTGTCCTTATCATAATTTGGCCATTATTTTCTCTTTGAATTGTTTCACATTTTGTCCTGCTGGGGCCTTTTATAACTTACTCTACAGTACAGGTTTTGCTCATTGTTCAAGGCTGTACAGTGCCCTATAGATGTCTCAAGTAATATCATACAATATCTCCTTATATTATTCAGGATAAAATAAAAGCATGGTTAGAGAATGCTAATACATGGGTGGGAGGTAAAAAAAATGCTAGTAACTACTGACAATTTCATTGGTTTAGATGATTATGAATGTTGGTGTGATACACATTTTAGGTTTAACAAAAATGAAAAAAAAGCTTTATTTAAAAAATGAGTTTAAAAGCAAATACACCATTGAAAATTTTCAGCTTACTGATATAAATTGATTTTCATGAAAATATTAATGACAGGTGTGTGCCAGAGTTGTTGAGTCATAATTGAATAAAACAGAAAACAACAGTATCAGAGGTAAAAAATAAACTGTGAAGATAACCAGCGGTACTTACTGCCCCCAGTCAATACTCCTCAAGTGGTCAATACTGGCAAATACTGACCAATTGAAATTTTCATGGTTCTTTTGACAGACTTATCGATCTATCTATTCTAGTAAAGCCTATTAACATTAATAATGACTAATTTAGTTCTTAGTTGTAATGATATTGCATACTTTAGGTATTATATATAAAATTGCTATCACAATTATATCAATATGTATAAATCAAGATTTTTCTTCTTGAAAACTGGTATTCAAAAATGTACTTACTATAACAACTGCCCCGTAATAAATGTTGATCTAACAGAAAAAAAAGTAATAAAAGTTATCTTTTTCTTTAATATTTTTATTCTAATTATCACTGTTCATCATGTGTTCATGTAGAATTTCAATATATAAGAAAAGAAAACATTAAAAAGAGACTAATATTGACTTGAATGTAGGTCAAAATGTCACAGAACAGAAAGTCACAATACATTTTTGAGAGAACTTTTTATTCTTTGATTAAAAAAAAAGTCATTTTTTAAAACCATTTTTGTTTTTATCTAAAACTAAATCTATGAATCAACCTTTTAAATTTATTTTATAACATTTGATGAAATAACTGATAAGAAAACAAGATGGTATAGTCTCTTGTTAGTGACTGGCTTCATGGTGCCAAGAAATATATCCATTGTATGATCAATATGGGATAAATCTACATGTAACCATGTTCATGAAGAATTTCATAAGCTCTACAATGGATTTATCTTATAAGAAGGCATTATTTCAAGGATTTTTCTTTATATATTGAAACACTTACTAGCTAATTTATTGTGACTTTTTGTCCTAGTACAATGTAGTATATAAGTGACTTTCTGTCCTATGGCTATATCTGTCCGTTTGCCCAGTTATTGACCCGGTAGGGACTGGTTATTATAGTAATGTCCTATCAAAACTTGAATTGACCAATATTTCCCGGTATTTACAGATATTCACTGCAAGGATGATCAATACATGTACTAGTATTAACTGTTTTTTTCTAACCTTGGAAGTTATTAACATATAAACATCAGAAGTACGACATGTTCTTGTAAACACTGAAATTTTGTAAATGTTTACCTGTTTACATATAAAGACATCTAATTTGGTCTTATTGCTACAGGCTTCAGATGACCAATGGTTAAGTTCACCAGGAGGTGTCTCATCATTATATTAAACTAAGTTATTTTTACATGTGTATATTAGCATTGGTTCATTTCAAAGTCAAATGGTGTATTTTTGTCTTGTTGTTTGTTACTGCTTCCTTTGACTAGTGAAAACAAATTTAGCTTTGTTACTACTATCTTTGACTAGTGAAAACAAATTTAGCTTCGTTACTGCTTCTATTGACTAGTGAAAACAAATTTTAGTTTTGTTACTGCTTCCTTTGACTTATGAATGTTACCGCTTCCATTGACTAATGAAAACCGTTTAAGCTTTGTAACTATATCCTTCGACTAATGAAAATGGTTTTAGCTTTGTAACTGCACCCTTTGACTAATGAAAACTGTTTTAGCTTTGTAACTATGTTCTTTGACTAATGAAAATGGTTTAAGCTTAGTAATTGCTTCCTTTGACTAATGAAAATGGTTTTAGCTTTGTAATTGCTTCCTTTGACTAATGAAAATGGTTTTAGCTTTGTAATTGCTTCCTTTGACTAGTGAAAATGGTCTTAGCTTTGTAATTGCTTCCTTTGACTAATGAAAACTGCTTTAGCTTTTTAACTGGGTCCTTTTACTAATGAAAATGGTTTTAGCTTTATAATTGCTTCCTTTGATTAATGATAACTGTTAAAGCTTTTTAATTGCTTCCTTTTACTACTGAAAACCGTTTTAGCTTTGTAACTATGTCCTTTTACTAATGGAAATCGTTTTAGCTTTGTAACTATGTCCTTTTACTAATGGAAATCGTTTTAGCTTTGCAACTATGTCCTTTTACTAATGAAAACTGTTTTAGCTTTGTAACTATATCCTTTTACTAATGGAAACCGTTTTAGCTTTGTTACTGCTTCCTTTGATTAATGATAACTGTTAAAGCTTTGTTACTGCTTCCTTTGTTCAATGAAAACAATTTTAGCCATTTTACTGCTTTCTTTGACTAATGAAAAACGTTTTAGCCTTGTTACTGCTCCCTTTGACTAATGAAAAATGTTTTAGCTTTGTTACTGCTTCCTCTGACTAAAAAAAACTGTTATAGGTTTGTTAGATTTTTAGTAATTTCCAAGTGTATATAGCATTCTCTTATGGTTGTGACCTGTTTTCTATTTCTTGCATGAATAGATATTACTTGTATCACACTGCACAGAGTGTTATACGAAAAACTGCAATGATTTGATTGGCTTATCAAGCATCAAAATACGATATTAGGACATTTCCAATGGGTATTTGTTCGGTCAGTGTAAACTTTCAAAAGTTAAGACGATGTACATTTCATCCATGGCAATTGGCAAGCCTGATTTCTTTAATAATATACAAAACACTCACACTTTTCACCTGAAAATCTTCTTTTTGTCAAATTTTATTACATTCTGAAGCGTGCGAAAAGTTTTAAAATGTCTGATGTTAAGGTTTGACGCTGTAACAGGACATATGATGTCATACTGGTATGTGCAAAAGACTAGATCAACAATTCACAGAAAATGTAACACAATGAGAGTATTGACCCTAAGAGAAATAGGTTTAACAACTCGTCAGAATTGGATATTGCTTGATATCAACTCTCGTTATTTAATTTAAATAGTAATAATAAACTCGTCACAGGCTAGTTTATTATAATATTGAAATCATATAACTTGAGTTTTTATCAAGCAATATCCAATTCTCACTCCTTATGAAACCTTTAATCATATATGAGTTCCTTTACAAAGAACATTTGGCTAGGCAACAAATAAGGAAAATTGTTTTTATAGCTGTTCTTTATTTTTACGATTTGTAAAAGTCTAAATAAACATTAAAACTGAAACAATTTGCTTTTTCATGGACCCTGTAAATTCAGTGTTCCTGTAAGAAACCTATGTAAATATCCTTGCTAATTATGTTGTGTCCATGACAGGTTAAAGGCTTAAGATATTATGTTTTCCTGAAGTTCAAAATGTCAAGGTTGACAGAGTTTAGATTTTCTGATTTTGAACTAATTTTGAATGAACTGGTTTTTGATAACCTATAACTTTTGTCGATTTGTATATTAATAGAACACCCTGTCATGTTTCCACTTTATAGTTAATGTTGGTCCCTATTTATATTTTAATTTCAACGTCTTTTGTATATGTTTTCAGTAAAGGTTCATCTGGAATTGACGCTCCTAAATGTGGAACAAACCCTAAACGTAGAGAAATTAAACTCACCAGTGTGCTGAGCTTACAAGAGGAATTGAAGAAAAATATACATTCAGGTAGAAATAAAATTATATACTTGACTAACTCTTGATTTATATTCTTTAACTCACATGGCTGATTTTGGCCTTACAAGCCATTTCCATAAATAAGCATCCTTTGTCATATAAATTTTTTTCAAAAATCTTTTCCTCTGTAACTGAGTCAATTTGAACCAAACTTTTCAGAATGTTCCTTTTGTTATTTGTTTTATAAGTTATATCCTGGTTTAAGTTCCCTCAATAAATATGGTGACGATTACTGAAAATTGAACATAGTTTTCAAACCTTAGAATATGTAGACAAATTATTTAAAGCTCAACTGTTTTCAAACATTAAGAAAATAATACAATAAACATTGCATAAAAGATATCAAGCAGGTGACCTCCCACAAAGATAAAAAAAGGCCACCATCATTGCTGAAATATAAAATTTATCAAAAGATGAAAAATTCTTCAAAAGAATCTTATAATTATGACCTAAGGAAAATGATATTTATGATCATCCGATGGAATTGAGGTAAATAACCCCAAATTGAGATTTAACATGATTGCCACTTTTACTAAAAACAAACGGTGATTCTACTTCAACCACACCTTAGGTAAGTGATAAATTCATAATTCTCTTACTGATTTATGATGATGACCCCAGACCATCAATAAAATGACCACCACAGTTACAAAAAAAGACAATTTTGCACAATTATTTTTCATCCGAAATATGGCACATGACTTGGCAACTTATTTGATTGTGCCACCACCAAAATATGTATATGAATAAAAGGAGATCAAGGGTTTATGTCATAGGAGAAAGTACAACAAGGCCACTTTTTTTAGAGCCTGTAACATTTATGTGGCAAAAGTGAGTCATCTGCAGTGCTACATGTATTCACAATTAGGTTCAGTCTGTGGTTAAAATTTTTTCAAAATACACTAACTTTGCCAAACCTTATATGGAGTTTTATAAAATTTAGACAGAAGCTTTTTTATGACCAAAATAGTGTATCTAGAGAAAAAATTTGAAAATATTTGTTTTCATTTTTCCGTTGATAAGTGGACTTAGATTTTATTTACAGTTAACATATTGGTACGGTATAAGGTTAAGGTTTTTCGGTCATCAATAACTTTGTCAAACTTTTATGGAATTTTATTAAATTTGGACTGAAGCTTTTTTATGAACAGAAAACTGTATCCAGTGCAAAGATTAAAAAACATTTATCTTCATTTTTCCATATTTTACTGATAAATGGACATAATTTTTTTGCAGTTAAATTGCTTGGTCAAACCTTCTTAGAATTTTATGAAACTTTTTTTTTTGATTGAGAGATTTACAGTCTGGGATTAAATTTTTTTAACATTATAAATTTGTAAAACTTTTATGGATTGTAATGAAACATGGACAGAAACTAATATTCAAGATCTAGAAAAATTATATTTTTTTTTATTTCTGTATTTTACTGAATTATGGACTCACTTTTTATAGTCAACATTACATTTTAAATTGACAGCAGCAATTGCAGGCAAGACACAGGGTTCCAAGGAACAATTTTTTAACTCTTCAAATAGAAAATTAAATCTAGCAAATTACTTCCTATCAGTATTTTTGCCTTACCTATTGGCATTAAAACTGCAAACTTCTTGAGTGCACACCTGCCTAAATATTCTCATTTTGAGAGCTTGTCATTTACTTGTCAAGGCTTACCTAAAACAGATCTTTTTTTACTAGATGTTTTTAACAAAGATGGTAATGTGTATAAAAATGTGTATAAAAATATCTTTTGGCTCATAATTATTTTGTCAAAAAACTAAGCATGAAATTAACATTTTTAGGTCAAATACCTTATTACGATTATTGGTTAAGTTGACATCAGAAGTGAACTTTCTGCACTAAAGTTGACAACACAAGTGACCTTTCTGCACTATAGATTCCAGATTATCAACCAGCTCATTTATCAATGAAATTAACACAATTTTAAAAGGCTTGAATTATTTTCCCATTTTTGTAATTTACTGGACAATTGTTTAATGAATAATAAAGCATGTCAAAAATCATCTTTCTCCTTTCTTTGTTTTGTTTAATGAATAATGCAGCATGTCAAAAATCATCTCTGAAACCACTGTTCAGATATAGAGAAAACATGGCCATAATGAATGATAAATGGAACTTAAATTATGTTAAGCAGTTCAGGCTCCTGGAATACTACCTTTTTCATTTGCAGACAAAGTTTATAAAATTCTTTTTATATTGAACTGTAAATATTGATTCATATAGAATGCTGTCAAACTAAGGACAATTAAAAAAACCAACAGATTGGTAACACCAAGGACGTATATTGTTAGTTATACGTCCTTGGTAACACCCAAATGTACCTCTGTATGTTATGTTACCTTTTAGGGATAGTTCGACAGTCAACTTAATAAGCATAATTTTAACATTAACAAAAGATTGATTGGTTGGTGTTTAACTCCACTTTCAGCACTATTGTTCTATTTGGTGGCAGTCAGTTTTTATTGGTGGAGGAAGCCAGAGAGAACCACAGACCTTTGGTAGGAAAACTAACAATCCTAGTCAATTAAGGTTAGAGTCGAACGCACCTGCCTCGTGCTGGATTCGAACTCACAACCTCAATGTTGACAGGCTAGTGATACTCAGACCACTCTACCACCGAGGCCCCCATTAACAAAAGACATTAGATGATCCTAATTAAAAAAACTGACAAATTATGTTTATTTCATACGTAAGAATGTATTAATGCTCAATAGCCTATCTAATGCATGTTTTTTGCACTTTATTTTATGTAAGGATTTTTCTCAAGTTAGCTTTAATAGTGTCATATACAAAGGGAAATAACTCTGACTTCTTTTGATATAAAACAATTCTCTGTATGTTGATGTAAATATTAAAACATATTATGTTACAGGAGTGCGGGATATGTTTCAAAATAATACATTTGTTGGATGTGTGGATGAAGAATTTTCTTTAATGCAACATCAGACTAAATTATATTTAGTAAATACTACTAAGTTAAGGTATGTTTACTTTACTAAATGATCAAAATGCCAGAAATATCTACAAAAGCTGATTAAAGACAGAGATAATTTTACTCAATGGTGAAATTAATACAATGGGTAAAGGGTACAAAATATATGGACTGTTAAATGTATTTTACAACAAGTTTAGATCAATAGAATGATGAGTTCTGAATAACAAAAAAATGTAGTCCACGTATAGTCAAGGTCATAGTGCATGCTGTAAAATTACAAACAATATTAAGAATGGATACTGACTTGAAACTACACATATAAAACTATGTTCCACTAGTAGTATGTCTTTACAAAATTAGTAACAAAATAAAAAGGATTAAATGTCTGAGGGGCTTTGTTGAACCACACAATTTGTTTTTTTGTTTTTCTGGGTGTTTATTATCAGAAAAAAAGGAAAAATGAAACTACAACCCTATAATTCACAGGAAGGGTAATAGTTAGGCAACATCATTTTTTTGTCAGTTAAAACATAATATATGTGGATTGGGAAACATGATTTTTGCCTTTTGAATCATGGTGCTAGATTTCCTGCATATTGGTTGATGAAAATATTCTTAAAATGAGAATTGGAGCATAAATTATATGTTGAATTTTACCTTTCAGTGCAGAACTGTTTTATCAGTTAACAGTTTTTGACTTTGGAAATTTTGGACTTCTTCGTCTTTCAGTAAGTATTACTTTAGATAAAGATCTTATTTTAATATTATTATCGTAACTTTTATTTTGTTTAAATGATAATGAATAGTACATGTTGAGGTCTTGGTCAAGATTCCATTTGTATAAAATAACAAGAAAGTAATTTGAATAAACCCAGTATAACCAGATTTTGTATTGTTATAATTTCATAAGAATAAGAATTACCTAAAGGACGATGTATGATAAGTGCAGTATTTGGCCCCTTTGTATGCAAAAAAATTCAACAATATCTGGGGCAAAAATGACCATAAAACCTTATTGAAGTTTTGTATTTTGTTGAAATAAACTTATTTTTCAAGATTATGCAGGATATCGATTATAAATGATACTATGAATACACCATAAACGGGTGTCTATACGGAAAATCGGACCTTTCCGACTCTACTTTGAATGATTTAAATATGAGCGCAAGTGAGGACATGTAAGATATTTTACATATGGTATGTATGATATAGTTTTGACATTATATACAAATTTCATAGATGTTCTCAACTGCGCTCATAGCAAAATCTTTAAAAAATATCATGTACAGTCGTTGATTTTTGCGTGCGGTTTATTTCAGTCTGACAACTTCCGGTTTCAGTTGCCAGGGAAGCTGGATATCATCAGAGTCAACAAACTTAATGCTGCTGTAATAATATATGATTCTAGAATGGTAAATGTGATACTTATTCATGCAAAAACAGAGATATATCATAAATCTCATGTGGGATTGTGCACGGGTTCCTTAAATAGTTCCAAGAAGAAACAAAAGAAATCATAAAATAAATTCACGAAAAAAGAGCAGACGTCATATGTTAGCTCTCTATTTCAAAGCTTAAATTATGATAGAATGATAAATGTGATATTTGTTTGTTTGAAAAAAAACTGATATATATATTACAAACATTACGTGAGATAATGTATAGGTTCCATAAATACTTCCAAACCAAAGAAGTCTAAATTCACAAAAACACGTGGTCACCGCCGTTCATGCTCAGAGCAGACGTCATACTTGTAATTCTCTATTTGAAAGCAAAAATATATTGCCCTTTCAGATCAATTATTTTCCGAATATAGATGTTGTTAATGCAATTGGACATCCAGATGGTCAATCATCGGGTTTAAAAAAAAAAAATTTGTATTTTTGTACGGAATCCTAAAAATGATTATCTCCCCTCGGGATCAGTATAAAAGTAATTTTTATAAAATTCTCCTTTCAAGTATTTGTTAAAAATAAATTAACACAACCATAAATCATTTCATAGGGTATTATTAAATATATATCAGAAGATAAAAAGAAGAATGTTCAAATTTAATAAAATGTTGCAATAACAAATAACAAATTATGATAATATTATAAACCTATTGACTTGGAAGAAGGTAGATGTATGACTATATATACCCATTAAAAATTCTCAGCCCAATTTGGAGCATTGTATTGTTGGGAAAAAATTCCAGAACAAATAATTGTCAAAACTGTGCTTGAATTCTTGAAATGACAATATCTCAATGTAAAATGTGCTATAATTTCTTAGTCAGGCATGAATAAAATGCACATGATGCAACATACATAGAAAAATGTTAGGTTAACTGAATCTAATAAATAAAATTGAAAAAAAAAATCATCAAAGATCATTCAGGTTGACAAATTGTTCCCAGAATGTTGCAAATAAAAATACTTACCAATGTTTCTCAAATCAAAACGGTTGGGAGTTGGCCTCCCAATTAAAATTTTGAAGAGACTAAAAACCAAAAATTCGATAGTTGGGTGAAAATGAATTAGTTAAACATGTGTGGTTTTTAGATATGTTAAAGAGCAAGTTTCCTTTTATTTAGGTTCACTTCCTTTCATTGGTTTCCTTAACCCTGTTTGAAATATTCAAGATTATTTTAAGAAATAAATTCCTTGCTGTTTTTGATTTTCATAAATATTTAATATATTTTGTAGATCGTCTCCAAAAAGTTTTGAATGTGAATTTATATGCCATGTACAACAAATAAGCCATGAAATGAATTAAAGATGAATTGTAACCGTAAGTATTTGCTATTCCAAATTTTTGTTCAGTTTGATACTATATTAAAACTTGCAAATACAAATTAGTTTAACATGTGTGGTTCTTAGATATGAACAAAACAAGTTTCTTTTATTTAGGTTCACTTTCTTTCATTGGTTTCCTTCACCATGTAGGAAATATTCAAATGTTAAAGTCATTCAAGATTATTTCAATAAATAAATCCCTTGCTGCACTTGATTTTCATCAATATGTTATTTAATTTATTTTGTAGATTGCCTCCAAAAAGTTTTGAACATGTATTAATATGCCATGTACAACAAATAAGCCATGGAATGAACTAAGAAATGAATTAAAGATGAATTGTAACAGTAAGTATTTGCTAATTTTTGATGAGTTTGAGACTATACTAAAACTTGCAAAAGTACATGTTACACATCATAGCAATCTAAAGCACCTATTATGTATACAATATGTGGACAGAGGCAGTGGGGTCATCATTTGATGGTGTTGAGTCTGTTGTTGAAGATTTCAAACAGGATATCTTAGTCAGACCTTTATTTAAGTGATAAGAAACTTTAACCTTTTAAATAATAAAAAAAAACCAGCTAGTACAACAAAATGTATATAAAGCAAAAGTTAGAAAATATTTGTTTTTACCATATTTTTTAAAGATAGTTAATATGGAATTGCAACCCCTCTTGACCCCCCCCCCCCCCCCCCTCCCCCCCCACCCCCCCCTCCAAACCCACCCCCTTTTAAAATATGGGAGTCCTGTAACCTAATACATGTACCCTGTCCAGGACTTTGCAGAAAATTGGTGCCAAGAGAAATCACTTCAAAAATAAGAGCTGATCTGGCAGTAAAAAAAAAGGGGGGGGGTTGGTGGCTCAGAACCCTCTCCCCACCCCTGAGTGCCTATGCTAAAGAAGTAAACTTTACAAAAGTGTACATCTTTAAAGTACAAAGAAGCCACTGTTTACACTTCATGCTTCATCAAAATATTCACATCCTAATAAGCATGTTATATTTGCTACTGAAAATAGAAACACCATGCACAAGTTCATCAGCATCATTATTATTAAATATTAAACATGCTGTATTCATAATAAAAAAAATGAAAATATGTATACCTTGTAAATAAACGCAAATTGTTAGAAATTTTTTCTTATATAGAGATCAAAACCGCTTATTTATATAAATTACATAGATAGTAAGTAACATCATGTACATTCTTATGTCAATAACAACATTTATTTATTTCTTAGTTCATTACTTTTGCACTCTTACATTTTCCCTACCCCTGTTGTAAAATTTTTGTTTTTCAAAACTGTTTCATAATTTTTCTTGTGTTATTTGTAAAAAATAATATTTTTTTTTCCTTTTCAGATTTCTCCATAGATACATTGTACCATACATAAATGTGAATTTAACATGTATGAAGAACACCTATGCCTGATGTTGAATAGTAGATAAACAAATGCGTACCTCACAGTAAGTATTTGTTAATTGTTTTTAACAAGAAAATTCAAAATGAATATTTTTCCAATAATAAATATGTCTAAAGTAGTAAAAAGAATGGTGTTTTATATTGACAGTTTTGTATAAAACAACAAATAAATAAAATTGGTTTCAAATCAATATATCCGTTTAATGCTTGCTCGGATTATGATAATTAAACACTATATTTCTCTTCTGATTTTTATATGAGAACGCGGACGACAACGTGACACCAATATACGACCGCCAAATTTTTTTTGCGGTCTTATATTGGTATGTTGTCGTCGTCGTCCGAAGACACATTCTTTCCGGACAATAACTTTAGTTTAAGTAAATGGATCTCTATGAAATTAAAATACAAGATTTGAAACCACAAGAGGAAGGTTGGGATTGATTTTGGGGGTTATGGTCCCAACAGATTAGGAATTAAGGGTCTAAAAAGGGGTCCAAAAAAGCATTTTTCTAGTTTCCAGACAATAACTTGTGTGTAAGTGTATGGATCTTACTGAAATTGTACCACAAGGTTCCATACCAAAAAAGGAAGGTTGGGATTGATTTTGGGGATTATGGCCCAAACTGTTTAGGAATTAGGGGCCAAATAGTGGCCAAAAACAATACTTTTCTAATACTTTGTATAAATTTCTTGACCAATTTCAATGGGGTTTTAATCTTGAATTCTTGGGGTTCTTTAATATGCTGAATCCAACCATATATTAAGTTTTTAGATTTTGGACCCCGTTTTTAAATTGGTCCACATTGAGGTCCAAAATTAAACTTTGTTTGATTTCATCAAAAAATGAATTATTTTGGTTCTTTGATATGCCGCATCTAACCGTGTATTTAGATTTTTTATTTTTGTTCCTGTTTTCAAATTGGACTATATTCAGGTCCAAAAGGTCCAATATGTTTTCAAATTGGACTACATTAAGGTCCAAAAGGTCCAATATAAAACTTAATTGATTTTAACAAAAATTGAATTATTGAGTTTTTTTATATGCTGAATCTAAACATGTATTTAGATTTTTGATTATGGGCCCAGTTTTCAAGTTGGTCTAAATCAGGGTCCAAAATTAAACTTTGTTTGATTTCAACAAAAATTGAATATATGGGGTACTTTGATATGCTGAATCTAAACGTGTATTAAGTTTTAGGATTTTTGGGCCCCGTTTTTAAATTAGTCCACATTGAGGTCCAAAGGGTCCAAAATTAAACTTAGTTTGATTTCATCAAAAATTGAATTATTTGGTTCTTTGATATGCCGCATCTAACCGTGTATTTAGATTTTTAATTTTTGTTCCTGTTTTCAAATTGGACTACATTAAGGTCCAAAAGGTCCAATATAAAACTTAGTTTGATTTTAACAAAAATTGAATTCTTGAGTTTCTTGATATGCTGAATATAAACATGTATTTAGATTTTTGATTATGGGCCCAGTTTTCAAGTTGGTCTAAATCAGGGTACAAAATTAAACTTTGTT